CTTTTATCTTTTTGAAGCAAGAGTGCTTTAAAATCTTTTTTTTTGTTGAGCTTCAAGTTATATTGATGTCTCTTCAAAGATTAGCTTAGTCTCCAATTATTGATAAGTTAGTGGAGTTTGAACAACAATCTACTTTTTAAAACTCTCATACTTATTAAGGCAAATTCTTTAAGATATAAAAAATAATGATGTCTTTAGGAATGTTGACATCTACTTCTTTTAGGAAATTTACAACTTCATAAACTTCAATAAGGTGGACATCTATATAAATAATTTATATTTTTGTCAAAGCAAAGAATCTATCTATGAGCATCACTCAGCAAAACTTGTTGTCAAATTTGAATCTTGTTTTTAATGTGGTCGAATATTTATAAAAAATTTTGTAGCATCAAATGAATTTAAAAGCATTGTTCATAGCATTGTTGTTGGTAATACTCATGACTTAATGGTGTATCATTTGTTTTTCTTCACTCATTGACATTATCATATAATAACATGACTATATGGTAAAAAATAAAAATATGGATGTTATTATAGAAGAATATAATAAAAAGATATAACAAAAAAATAAAAATATGTAATACAAAGATAGTAAAAACTTTAGTCTTAATACTATATTTTTATAGAAGAGATTTCTATTTATTTTGTAGGAGCATAAATGAGTCGAATTAAAATAAATAAAATAAATAATTTATATAGATATATTTAAGAAAAGATTAAAAATAGGTTATAGAAAAAATTACCTCAAAATATGAAGAATTAATACCAAGAAAGGGCCAATTATGAATCAAGGTCAAAATCAAACCCTGAGGCACAAAACCATGTACCTATACTTATTCCAAGGTTCTTTGGTTGATAAGAGAGTGAGCTTTGAGAGCAAAAAAGAGAAGTTCTTTGGATATTAGTTTCAAGTGATTTGAGTACATAATGACTTTGTAAAGGCTTTTCAAAGTTAAGCTTGTTTTTGATTGACTTCGAGTTTTGAAAAATTCAAAGAGTTGGTACTTTAAACAATTGTGTAAGATTTGTAAATGATCTATAGATGAAATTTCGTAATTAAATGGTCATTATTGTCTGTAATCTTTGTTGAAAATTTAAGCTTGATCTAACAATTTATTTAAGGTTCATTAAAGCTCAAATATATTAAAGTTTTCAGAATTGGAATTGAAAGGACTAGTAAAGATTTCTAAGATATTTGTCAACCTATTAGTTAGATTGAAATAAAAATTTGTGTAAAAGTAATAAAATTAATTTTTAATAATTGTGAAAATTTTGAGATCTATTAAATAATGAAATTAAGAGAATTTAGTTCTAAAATATCAACATCAAGATTAGAAAAAGAAGTTGGCAAACATTCAAGCAAATTTTAAGAATTATCTTCTATTTAGTTTTTTTGATATTCTTCAAATTTTTTGTACTTATTTTAAACTTATTTTCTAAAAAATTTATAAATTTTGAATTAAAATCAATGATTAAATCATTAATTATTGAAATTTAAATTTGCTATGAGTTTTATTAAGAATTTGGTTAAGATTTAGGATTTGATTAGGGTTTGATTTAGAGTTTAGTCAAGATTAGGATTTACTTAGTAATTGCTTAGGATTTAGGATTGGAATAGAATTGGCTTAGGATTTGATTTAAGATTTAATTAGAATTAGGATTTGATTAAAATTGGTTTAGAATTTGATTTAAGATTTGGTTAGAATTAGGATTTGATTATGATTTAAGATTTAATTAAGATTGATTTAGGATTTGATTAAAGTTTTATTACGATTTGATATAGGATTTGCTTAAGATTGATTAAGATTTTATTAGAATTTGATCTAGAATTTGATTAAGGTTCATAAAAATTTAAGATTTCATTAGGATTGGTTTAAGATTTAAGTTTTAAGATTTAAGATTTGGTTAGGATTTATTTAGAGCTTATTTAGGATTTCATTATGATTTAAGTTTTGATTAAAATTGATTTAGGATTTGATTAAGGTTTTATTAGGATTTGATATATGATTTGATTAAGATTGATTAAGATTTCATTAGGATTTGATCTAAGATTTTATTAAGGTTCATGAAAATCCTAATTTATGATTAATTTAAGATTTAGGATGTAAGATTTGATTAAGATTTATTTAGGGCCTATTTAGAATTTCATTAGGATTTAAGATTTGGTTAGGATTTGATTAGAATTTGGTTAACATTTTATTAATATTTGATCTAGGTTTTGATTAGGATTCATTAGAATTTTATTAAGATTTGATCTAGGATTTGATTAGGATTCATTAAGGTTTTATTAGGATTGGTTTAAAATTTAGGATTTAATTAGTAATTAATTAAGATTTTATTAAGATTTATTTAAGATTTATTTAAAATTTCTATTTTTGATATTTTTTTAGGATCCTTTATTATTTCTTTTAAAAAAAAATTCTAATATATCTTTAAGATTTTATTTTTGTATTTTTTTAAGATTTATTATTTTTAAAAAAAAAATTAATTATGACTTCTTAATATTTTTTTTATGAATTCTTAATATTTTTTTTATGACTTCTTTTAAATTTCTTTTGGATGGATCAAAATTTGATTAGAATTTTTAAGGATTATTTCAGGTTTATTTAAGACTTTATTAGACTTGATAGGATTTTGTTATTGCATTTTTACTTATCTTCCTTAGTTAAATAACCAATGCATTCTTAAATAAGAATATACATAATACAACAACATTCATAGAGGTATAAAGCATTAGTGAAAGCATCTATATTTCTAAAATAAATTCCAAAGGTTAAATCTCCATCAAGATGGTAACTCTCAAGAAGTCCATTGTCTCTAGTCATGATGATTTTTTATTGTACAACTTGATGAGTAGTCTAATTTTGTACACTATTTCTTATATCTTCATTTAAATTATTTATAATTGACATGAAGTCTAAAAGAAGACAGAAGAATTAAAGAGATATCACTTTTTGATAAGGTCTCATCTCTAGCCAATGAAAGATAGAAGTTTCAAGTTTCCAAAGAACCTTGGTCTAATATCATTAAAAAACCAAAGCAGTGCTTGAAAAAAACCAAAGCAAAGCTCATTGCTTGAAACTCAAATATGTATTGAAGCAAATAAAAATACAAGAATATACTAAATTGATATCTTAATCTTGGAAGTTAATTTAAAAGAAAAGTAACTATCTTAGATTTATTAGTAACAAAGTGGTGGACAGAAAGGTTTTAACAATTGGATCTTTGATATTTGACACACTATGATTTTTCAACCTTCTCTCAATCTTTAGAGACTTTATTTAAGTTATTTTAGCAACATACTTACAAGGCTTATTTTCTATAAACTTGAGAAAATTTCTACAGTCCAAATCATCAATCTCTAAACCTCACACTTTCGAATTAGAACTTGTTAGTTTGCATCTATGACACCTCCTTTCTTCTCTCTTCTTAATTTTCCAATGGTTTGTGCCTTCAATTGTTGATCAACAAACACATAATCAAAAATACACCAATGATCCTTGCTTGCAAAGCTTCTTATATGAAACAACATGATTGACAAATTCCTAGAATGTCAACAAAGAAAAAAATATGTATTACTTATTCTTTTTATTCTTTAACTACAATATCTATGAGAGCTTGCACTAATAACAACACATTAATTAAAACCCTAAATTCAAGAATTGATAGGAATAATTTAATAAATTGAAATTGTTATTCTTGAAGGGCTTGTGAAGTAGTAGTCATAACAATAAGAATAGCAATAATAATAATAATAATAAATGAGTAAAACTCTTTTTAGTTCTTTATATAAAATGCAAACAATCAAATAATCAAAATACAAAATAAACTCTTTTTGTTTGTATCATGCAAAACAATCAAATAATCAAAATACAAAATAAAATCTTTTTGTTTGTATTATGCAAAACAATCAAACAATCAAAATACAAAATATAATTATACATGCATAGACTAAACATAAATATATCTTAAAATGTAATACAAAAAAAGTGAATAAAATGCATATTTCATATTTAAAAAATAAATAAATAAATAAAAATGTTAAATAGACCTCTGCTTGTACTAAATAGATCCCTCCTTTAATGAAGAATATGATAATCATGATGAATGTGGTTGGTTTTTATTGGTTGCAGATCCAATAGTAGAAAAATGAATCTAGAGGTTTTTTTTTTTTTTTTTTTTTTTTTTTTTCCTTCATGATGGTTAGAATAGGTGGTTTGATTTAGTAAAAACTTGGGTCTATTAACATTCCCTCCAAAAAAACCACGATAAATACATAAATAAAAAAAATTAGATAAGAGAGAAATATTTCATGAGATTTTTATATATGAAAAGACAATTCAAAAGAGAACATTTAGAGTGTAAAAAAATGATTCATATTTACACAACACGGTTCAAGCTTTTCATTCATCCATGGATGGATGCGGTTTCCATTTTCTGATGGTTGTGTCAAGGTTTTACTGCCTCAGAGTTTAGGGTTTACGATAGTGGTGTGATTAGGGTTGGGATTCGGGATCTGATGGATTCGTCAAGCAGCAGGTGGGCATCGAATTGCTGTGTGGGGTCAGTCGAGGTTGTTGCTGTTGTTTTCTACGGTCGACTCCGAAACCTGTCGAGGAGTGAGCAGTGCCAGTTGGGGGAGGGGGGAAGCGTGAATCAGAAGCAAGCAATCGAGGAAAAGAGATTCAGTCGTCAGTAGGGCACGACATATGACCCCACCGAGGAGTTATGAGCAAGGGAGGTTGATTTGCGCTTTGGTCAGGGTTTCGATAATTTCTTCACTGACGTCAAAAATAAAAATACAAATAAAAGAACACAAAAAAGTCTCACAAAAGCAAACGAGTGCGCCAGCGCTGCGAAGTGCAGTACAATTCTCACTGATTGGAACAGTCCAAACAGTCTACCTGTTCTTCGGTGTAAGTGTCCCTACGGAAACATTGCTGCACATAAAACGTGTCAGGGCAAATTTAAAAGGACTTCGCGTGGACATGGACGAGAAGTTTCGACTTAAATCATGAAAAGTTTTTATTGAGTAAACAATTGATACATACCAACCCAAGGAGAGGCTCCGGTCACACATAATTGTCTGAGCAAGAGACGCGGCACTCTCTCAACTCATGTGGTGTGTAAGATAAATATGTGGTGAATGCATCATCACAGTCTAAAAAGTATTAAAAACATAGCGCTACTCCTGCAAATGTCAGAGTGACTGACCGTGCTCAATTACCTGTAGAACGTCAAAGAATAGCTAGGTACTACGATTTTATGTCAAAAGTTTCTCTGCTGTACAGACACCGAAATGGTGAGCCTCGTCGCAACATAGTAAGAGGGAGACGATTGGTTGACTCTGAAACTTCGCCCACTCAGTGGAGCCATCTCGTCCGTTGCCTTTCCTCAACCAAATTGATCCCTTGGCATGCTGAGCTGCATCGTGCTTGGCATGGGACGTCGCAGCAACGCATAAATTCGCTTCAGAATTACGGAGTCCTGCCGTGAATGTAGTTTTCAAATGTGTAAGCCCGTTCCTTCTTGAGCTTCTGAGTATTATACAATCGAAGTGCGCAGCTCATTTGGGTGCAGGAAGGAGATTTTGAATCAGCTCATGTCTTGCTCACAATGACTACGTATTGTCGAACTTTCTGATAAATATTACAAGAGATCCCCTCCACAACCTCCGAGCAATCACAACTCCACCTTCAACTTGCCTGTCAGGCACAAACTTGACCCTGAAACAGTTTATGACATTGCTTCATTAGAGACGGTGAATTGCATTCAAGTACACCTGTGAATCCAGAGTTGCATCGCACTCTTAAATCATCTAGCTGAAAAAAGAGCTAGACATTTACCACCAATTACAAATTGCAATGAGATCAGGTTGTGATGGTTGAGATTACCATGACTGACTTGCGAGCTTAAATTCAATCCACCTTGTCTACCCTGGATAAACCCCATCTCCACTACACTTTGAAGATCCCCGTCACATAAACTACTCCCAACCTGAGATTTCGCAATTTTCAACGGAACACACAATGTCATATCATCATAGCTGAACTTTACACGCTTTATATGCCAATAAAGCGAAAAAGATGCAGTGAACTGAAAATCCTACGTCAATGTTTCGACGCACCTGAGATAGAGGATCGCTAAAATGATCGGCGGAATGCACCATCGACGTCATCGTCGGCACACTCATTGACCGTCGCAAGTACAGAGCTTCCAAGTTGCAACTGGCCGTTGAGACATTCTGCATTGGGGGACATTGCAAATGGTCTCCGAATCGTCCTGCGAACGGATCCGAGACCACCATAGTGGTCTCCGGAGACCGTGACCGTAGCAGCATGTCTTTGCTGAGGAGGTCGTAGTTGTGGTCGAGACGAGGGGGATTGACAGCAGCCAACTTCATGGATAAAAACTCAATCTGGCGCTGAAGGGATTGCACGTAGTTGATAATCTCATCCAACATAACCGCCTTCCCTGTCACCTGTGAAATTCGTCACACATAAATCAACACAGAAAACAACCCAAGACACCAATGGGAAACTACCCAGCAGAGCCGATGCATCGGAGGGATGGGAGAGCTTGAGCACAAAGGAAGCTGATTTGTACCTTGCTGCATCCAGGCACAAGATCTTGTAGAAACTTCATGCGTTCACTTATTTTCTCCCGACGAACCTGTTGATTGTAAACCCCGACAACAAGAACCAGCTCAGCGAAATTCCAGGGCTCAACACGTGATCATGGAAGAAAACAAACACTGAATGAGTGATTTTGGTGGAGAGCACAATACCCTTTCAGCAAGGCTGTGGCTATCGGTGGCTTGACCTCGCCTGGCGCGCACATGGATGTAGTCTTGCTTGGGGAGGTCTTGGGGAGGCTTGGAAGTGGCCCCTTTCAAGGTCGACCGAGGGCTGATTGAGTCTCCGGAATTCTCACTTGCGCTGCCTTGCTCCGTCTTCACCACCTTCACATCTTCAGTGTCTGACTTCTGCCGTTTGAGGGGCGTGGTCTTCTCGGTGGCTGCTTCCATGGACTTGCTGTCTTCAGAAGAAACCTTGCCTTTCCCATCTGCAGCTGAGTTGCCTTTGCGCTTCCTTTGAGCCGTGGCTGATCTAGGGGCTTGCTGTGAGCTCGAAGAATTCTCCTGGGGAGTTGCTCCTTCGATGGACTCGTTGATGGACACTTTGGCTCCCTCGGTGGCATCCACTCCTTCAGAGTTCAGGTGATTTTGATCGCATTTAAGTTTCGTCTCTTCCGGGGAGCGGTCACCATTAGTGCCACCGTCGCCAACATCCTTGAGGTTTGCTCCAGGAAAAGGCTGAGCTACCCCGGTGCCAAGGGCGCCGAGTCGAGCCGAAAAGCTGGCACTTCGAGGGATCTTGCTCTCCTTCTCCAAAACGTCGCGTAGTCTCCCTGTGTCAAATGCGGATGAGTATGTCGTTTGAGGATAGTTCGAGGCGCCGAAGGTGGAGTACTTAGCAGCGCGTTCAGCGAAGATAGGATCATAAGACAATTGTTGCAGAGAATGCTGAGTGCTAGATTCCTGTAGAGCTAATCCTCCTTTGGTAGGATCCACGGTGAGTCCAGAGCCGTGAGGATAGCCCATTGCAGCACGGAGCTTGTCCATGGCGTGCATGCCCCGAAGAGCACCAGCTGCACAAGCTTCCTTCGAAATCTTCTCGGATTGATTAGTGCACGTTGCTCCTCACTACATACAATGACCAAGCTTCGGAAAACCTGAAACAACACATTTCAAACGGAGAATCAAAGGTTGCACTTGATTTGAACAGCGAGCACTTGCGCAAGCTAGTTAATTGCTCAATGCAGGTCGCTATCGTTTCAATTGTGGAGGTGATAGCGACTAAGCAGCAAAGTCTTACAAATTGGAACAATTCCTGCTACACACGACAACGGAGTACAGCTATAGAGTAAAGTCTAAGTACTCTCTGAAGACCTGATCTCAAAGCTGACTGGCTGGAATCTGGATTTCGTAACACAACCCTCACCAACCAGTGGTGACATGATCCCAGCGAAAGGGCAATGCAGGTCGAGTCAAGTACTACAATCAGTGCCCCTGAAATGGTGGAACACTGATAACTAGACACAGAGCAATCCGAGGGCGCGAGAGAGATGGCAATCGTCAGTTAGTGCAGTTTTCTCGACGTCACAGCGACTGCGATCGTTGCAATCTAAGGAACGAGGTAATGGCAAGAGCGATCAAGCTGTCGACATTCGCGTGCCAGACCTGGCCGGTGCCGACGTCGACGTGACCGCCCACTAGACCAGGGTCAGGAACAGTAAAGTTTCTCTGACAAAGGTTTACCTTTCCGCGACGGTAACAATAGACTATGAAGAAATGAAACACTGGCAGAATAAATGTCGCTGGAGACCTGTAGAGAGCTGACAATGGAGAGAAAGAAGTGCAATGCAGGCTCTGGCCGGAGACAGGAACAGAATCAGCTGCTGTGTGGGGAAGAAGGGGACGAAGTGAGGAGTCTGAATGGTGACTGCCCTCTTCCAACAAGAGTACGAGAGCAGTGGTACTAGCACTGCACAGTTACTCAAAGAAGTAGCGAGAGAGAAACGGCTTCTCGAGTGCAGAGTGTCTGTTCTGCTTACGGCAGACATCAATGAAACATGCAAGGACACACACTTATTGCATCATTTTGACCCATTGTCGTTTATGGCTCTTCCAGGCATCAGACTCATCCTCGTCTCCGGTCTCTCTCTCCCATTCTCTCTCCCCGCGCCGAACATAATCACTGCTTTCCGTGCACGGAATCTCCGCTCTTAATGGCCTTGCCAGGAGGACCATGGTACAGTCTACCTCTCGTAGAAACCACACTCTTCGTCACTCGCTCGCTCACTACATGAAACTTGATAGAAGCTCTCTTCAAACGCAGACAAGTAGTGTGTGTACGAGATGAAAATATGTTGGAAACCATCAGCACATGCAACACGCATACCGATACGCGCCTAAACCGCATAATTCGTTACCTCGGTGATTGATTGAATGGGTTCCGGCTCTTTCACTACCACCCAGCTCGACAAGCTTGAGCGTGGAAACTCTCAGCAGCTCGACACTCCTAATCCATCATCAACCTCTCCTTATGTCTTCTCTCGACCCAGCTCCCCCTCGTATCAATGACACTCCAGCTTCAATAGCTGCCTACCTACAGGATCAAATGATTCTCCTCATTGTCATGGATTGTTTCTACAATGTAAGAGGAAGGAACAAAATAACCCAGCCCCCACTGCATGCTTTGAATGAAAGCTGCTACTAGCTGACTGCGATCCAGCGCCGCGGGAGAGGGGAATGCACAAGACAAGCAGACACCGATCAAATTCCTGCCCAAGTTGCAAGATGATCATCACAAAAATCCTAGGACAAAGGACAGGCTTTGTGGCGTTTCAGGACAATGGGTTCGGTCGACAACTGGACAGAGGGGCGCACGCGTTGGTTGGTCCGCTGCGAAGATCGGCGGAGGAGAATGAGGCGCAGAGCGCGCCCATTACTATACACCCAATTCCAAAAATTGGTGTTGCCCCAAGTTTGTTTGTCCTTTTCTGTAGATGCAGGCCCCCTCCTAGCCTCTCATCCATCGTCCTGGTTCTCTGCTGCGCATCGGGAATCCCCCGGCCCCGCGACTATCTCGAAACCTTTCAACCTTTGTACGATCTCATACTTTGTGAACTTTTCTGAGCTTTGAGTTTCGGGTGTGACGGCTTTTAGCTTTTGTGCTCCTGCAGAAGTCGCGATGCTGGCCATGACCGCGCCATGACTCTGTGTCGTTCTTCCATTCCAGAGACACAACCAAAGGATTCAGATCCAAACGCCAGATTCTGCCTTTTCAACGCAACCTTTGTCCTTGGCAGTGTTCCAGTTGTATATTGCGTGACTGCGCTTGGCCTCCGCCGCGATTCCATTTCCGAATACCTTCACAACCAGGGGAGCACTTGTGCTGTCTTTCTAATTTCACACTTTATAGCCTATGTCGTCTTTTTTCAATTTCCCGCGGTCTGGCTTGCAAACCATTTGGTCTGAGCCTGGCTCTTGCGTTTAACGCAATGTGGCTTACTTCTATGCCATAGGATGGAGCGAAAGCGAGGCTCACAAACGCTTCAATTCACCTGCTTGGCGTGCTGCAATGAGAGTGGGTTCGTCTCTCAAAGCATGAACCAATATCCTAAGGGGATGAAAAAGCTACAAATTTCTGCGAAAAGCAATTTCCATGAGATGCAGCCTCCGTCAGAGCGTACGACGTGGCTTTGAATCTCAAGGGGGGTAATCCCAGGCAACCTTCGAGCTATAAAAAGCCATTGAGCATTTTGCCCTCAGCGACTAGGCAGAGAAACAAGGCACAAACTTCAAGGGGAATTTACATGACAAGTTTCGAGTCAGTTGCAGGGAGATTCAAAATTCCATTGATTCTTCCAGCTGATACAGGCTCAACAAGCTCAAGCTCTTTCATTAGGTGCCCTGAACAAGCTTTTATCCTCCGTTCCAGTCCTAACAAGGTCGGTTATTCTGCCGGACTAAACCCCAGCAACTGCACTCTTTAAAAAAAAAGTTGTTCTATGATACGAACAACCTTTCCGAAACAAATTTTGTTAACGTTAAGAAAAGTCGTAAGGCATTCTGGCGGTTTTAATAACCAAAGCTGGGTTTCTTCTGATATATTCCTTCTGCCAAAGTTGGAGAAGAAGGGACAGCGTTGAACCGCTGGTCGGACTAGATTATAGGGCAGGGAGTCGGTCACGGGGGCACTGACCTCATGACCGAACCGTACCCATTCGTGCTCATGTCCACTCAGGTCCCAAAGTGAGGTTACGTCTTATTCGCGGTTAAAGGGGGCTGACTGTTTGCTGCTACCCGAAATCACTGGGGGGGGGGGGGATAGAAATGAATATTTGCCTTAATTCCGTGGATGGTATTTCTATTAAAGGGTAACATTCGTCTTCTACTTAACGGAACCCTCCCGTATCGAACCCGTTCACACGCGCGTTCATTTGAGATATTTTTGAGTGGCATCCAAATTATACAGGCTCGTTTACCCCCAACGTTGCGACGAATCCATTCACTGCACTCCTGATTCCGTCGTTGGTTCCAAGATAGAGGGGAGCAATTTCACATCCAAAAAGTACATGGACTCACGACATAAAATGGCTGGTATAGGCCTAAATTTCATTTTTGTTTTTATTGAAGTGATTTCTATGTGTGTATGTGTACCTTTATAGTAACTTTTTGGTACCAAGCATGAAACTTAACATACAGCTTATTAATGGTAAAAACATTAATGCTCTTTTTGAAAATTAAAAATTAAAAAGAAGAGGTTTTTCATAATTAATATGATTTTTGATTGATATCATATTTATCATATTATACAAAGAAATCAATATCACCACTTCAAGTATCAAGAGTCATGAATTTGGATTTATTTTTCACATATATTTTATTATATATGTATATAAAATGGAATGTTAAATAGATCTATGCTTTTACTAAATAGATCTATCCTTGATGTAGAATATGGTAATCATGATGAATGTGGTCAGTATTAATTGGTTGCAAATTCAATAGTGGAGAGATGAATCTATGAATTATTTTTCTTTTATTTTCTTTTCATGATGGTTAGGATGGGTGGGTTGATTTAGTAAAAACTTGGATCTATTTAACATATATATATATATATATATATATATATCCATACATATATATTTATAGCAAATCTACAACTTTTTAAACATTTGATTGATTGGTTATGAAGTATATCACTTAAATATTTAAAACTATCTTTTATAAATATTAATAAAAATTTGATTTTGTTTAAATTTATAACCATATGTATAGTAACTATATATTTCTAATCCCATATGAAATTTATGAAAAATATATAATTTTATTTAACTTATATGGTAAAAATAATATTAAATGTTATTTTTTATGTTAAAATTATATACAATACATATTTTTTAGATATAATAATTATAAATAATTAATTAAACCAGCCTACTTAAATATTATTTGAGACTAACCTAGAATTAATCAATTCTTATGTTTGATTTGTTTACCACTATATTCATACTTTATAATTATGTGTTTGTAAATATTGAACTTAAATTATATGATATTCAATATTATTTCTTAAAATTTATATTTTTCTAAAAATAATATTTTAATTTTGACAAATAACAAATATTTTTCTTTGTTTTGATTGCTTGATCATTATTTTATTTCCTATTATATTCTTTAAATCCAATATATATATATATATATATATCACAACAACATTCAATTATGTACAAGAGAGAGGAAAGATAATTGGAAAGTGGAACTTTGCAACATCACAACAATCATATCATCAAAAGCCCATGAAGCCCAAATAAGATTGGATATTGAATAAGGCCCACCTTATGTTAAGAGTAGCAGTGAATGCCACACAACTTCTGATCCCGTAGTTATTTAACAAGTACTGAAAATCTACCTTAAGATATATTCAAGTCTACTAAGATTTCAAAACGAATTTAATAACGACACTTTCCATTTAGTCCCCACAAGTAATATCGTGGGTGCGATTCAATGTGGGTTTGGACCTTACATGGCAATAAACAAAGGTAGTGCACCATTGCCTTACATTTTCTAGTGTGTGTGAATGAGGCAACAGGAACCAGATTCTTTCCCCCCCCCCCAAAGTGTGAACGCGGCCATGATGGAGCACGATCCTCCATCCCTATATCGAATATTCCATTTAAAAAAAGGGTTTCGCTTCTAGTCCAGTAAAAGAGAGCAATTCTGTGCTGCTTCTGCTGATGCTTTTGTGTTTTTGCCAATCCTCTCCACTCACTTCGAAAGCTAGACTTCACGGATGCTCATGCTTTGGCTGTCGTACAATTTTCTACACACTTTCTTCTTCGATTTTCAAGTTGGCGAGGGGGCACTTGAAACGGAATGAAGAGTATGAAAAGAAAGGAAAAAAACAGAAAGCTTCTGACAAAAATATTACCCAGATGATGCGCTGCTCTGCTCCCAGGAATGAATGAAGCATTTTTTTGCCAATCCCAGAATCATGGGAACCAGGAAATGTGTGGTAAGCAACAGAGATTCAACGTTGCTGAATGGGAAGGAAAAAAGGGGAGAAATGGAAACAAGAAAAACGGTGCGGGGAGCTGAGTTTCAGGAGCCCTAGTATTCCCTTCGGGACTCCTTTTTGTGTGTGCTCCTTTTATTAGGCTGTTTAATAACGGGGTATGGATCTGGACACGGATTATGTGCAAAGAACCTCTGCGGAGTATCCGTGACTGACGTGCCCCAATCCGTGCCGTGACTGTGGCTTTTGTTGGGCACTGCTGCGATGCTTTTGTGGTCGTGGAACCCGAGTCGGTCGTTAATCACACTGACACCCAAAAAGGACGAATAAGAACAAAAATGCTCTACATCTTGAGATCATTACAGACAGAAACTAGCCGCGCGATGTGGGAACAGCGTCTGTACGTTGTGTGATTTGTGTGTGCTGTTAAATTGCCGTTCGGATGATGGCGTTGAAACAAGGTTATTGCCAAATCCATGGTTCTGTAAAATAAGATCACCACGAATAACGAGATTGAAGTGACTGGTTTGGAAAGCATTCTCGAGAGATGAAATTTTTCTTCGCATCCACACGGTGTAGAGATTTAACGTTGGCCAGTAAAAGAGGGTGAAGGAATCTCCCTCTACGACCACACTTTCAGTTTTCCATCACCCAGTGGTGGTCAATTAGCTGTTTGTTAATACGCGGTCGAGTAACTAAAACAACTTGCAGTGCTTCCACTTGAATAGCATACAGAATGATCCTTACTGGCATAATCTGGACAGACTAAAGTCAGTGCACCGTATATTCACATCACCATCCGTGCACCTCGGAGAAAATTTAGGGGTTTCTAGAAACAAACCTAGCAGTCACAACGACGATCGAAGGAAAATGCGAATAGAAT